TTTTTTTTTAATCCAAAAGTCCTATGGTTAAAGGCTTAAGCTTTTTTGAACATCTTAATGTGGTTGGTTGTAAGTGGTTTGTAGTTTTTAAGAGGGAGAGAGAAATACTTATATTTAGGAAGTGTTGTTCATAAATAAAGTGTCCTTCACTTTTGGGGCCCTAGATTGTGGAAACTTTCTTCCTTTGTGCTTTGTGTGCTCAGCCAGATTCTGGGAGAGAGAGAATTGAATTGTCTCACAAATGTGTCTTAAGAACAGTAGAAACAAATAGTGTGTATAGCCCCTCCCCTCCTTAATTTTTTCCCACTTTATCTGAGAAGCTCAGGATAATTGTAGAAGTTACTAAAATGACTTCTAAAAGTGACTCCTGGGTGATGGTCTTATTTGAAGATCAGTCCTCTGGAACTTTGCTGTGACATTCAGCCATTGAGAACTGGCAGTGATCTGCTTAGAGATGCTCTCTTGTAGAGTGTTTTGTTATTGATACAAGGCTGATGATTTGAGTGTAGGCCGTGGACTGACAATGGATTGGTGGGTGTCCTGAGTTGTGGCTTTGGGTGATGTTACATGGAATATCGGAATAAGGAAACTTCCAACTATCTAGGCATGCTCATTTTGAGCTCTAAACAAAGCATGGGAAACGTTTTTCTTAATATGTAAGTAACTTAGCAAGTGGCATTATATTTATTTGAAATTAATATATGAAATAAAAGTTTTTTGTTTTTACTTTTATCAAAATAATCACTTTTTGATGTTCATACTGACTTAGGGAATTTAATATATGAAATATTTCTATATTGTATAAATTCTGAGATATATTCCTATTTCTATATGTAGATATAACAAATTCAGAATGTTACTTATGTTTTAAACTTAAGTACAAGTTCTGTGCAATTAAATATACTACATATATAGAATGTAGTGCATGCATTTTCTATATAGTTGGCTTGTAAGTTCATAGTCTAGTTCTTAATGCCTTTTGAAAAAGATTTATCATTTTGACACTTCTAAATGCCACATTTTAAAATCTCAGCTTGTTACTTCAGAGAAACAAAGAATATCTTAAAATACGACTTTCAGAATTTACTAATCAAGCTCTATTTGCATTTGTAAAAACTTGGTTTTGCCTTTCCACATTCTGATGGCAGCAAAGTAGATGCTTAGATAAACAAATACATTTCCATTTATCTTAGGTGTGAAGGAGGGAAAACCTATGATTTTATGGAGAGTGGAAAGATTTATTTACTAAAAGTGCTTTTTTTTCTCTCCCCCTACATTTCATCTGAATAACTAGTTATTCTTGAGATAGTAAGCAATAGTTCGTAATGCTAAGGTAGATCTTTGGGAAATATAATGTATTTGAAGGTAAACCTGAATTTATTATAGTAATGCTTAGTCTAGTGCAGTGTGTACTTCACATTTAACTTCTAAGACTTACAACTTTGGGGAAACGGAAAATGAGGCTAGCTTGGTTTTTTTTAAAAAAGTAACTTTTGTTTGGGATATAAGAATTGATATTCTACCAAAAAAAGAATTGATATTCTTGTGTATAGGTATTTTACCTTTCATTATCAAATTTATACTCAATCCTATATATTATTGGTATAGAGCTGTATTTATGCATATAGATGGATAA